TACACCCCCTATTGGGGCCGGAAGCCTTATGCCGTTTGAGGTGACTTATTTCCCGGGTAACCTACATTTCAGATAGAGGACTGATGTCAACTGGTAGTATTTGCATGGTTGAATCGAATGGGGAAAGTCTTGTATCGAAGGGGACCAGCTAAACTGTGCCTTAAAATGTTCTGCCCAAAAGATGCAGACCAATAAAGCAAAACGACGAACATTACTGCATACTCGAATCGCTGAGACCCCTTTGTCTATTTCATCGATACAGAAATAAGACAAATTTCTGGATATGTAAACATTTCGTTTTACCTTTCCAATGGCTGACGTAAAAGAAACAGGCACATAGATAACACATGGGGTTGCTTAATTGGTAATTTTATTTTATTTTGCTTTTCTGTGTTGCCTTGCTAAAGTCCCATATAAACATTGCGTTTTCTGCAATATGCACCCCAATGTGATTCGGCGAAATTGTTCCATATACAAATCTTGCAGTATTACGATATGGTCCATTCTTTTGCAAACAAAGCTGATTAATCGCTTCCTCTGAGGTTTCGCGAGCCTGAACAATCCTACCCTGTATTATGAATGTTTACTTGGGGTGCCCAGCAGTACTCTAAAGTTATAGGTTTTTATTCTCCTGTCATTATTTGCATGTGTCTTATGGACGACAACCAATAACCAAACAGAACCAAATGGTATAAGAATAGGTCTTCAAATGTTGGGTACTTTGATAGCTTTCATCGCCATCTTTCTATTTATAAATACTACAATTTTGGAAGCCGTCAGCTCACCGATGTTAGAAATCGAAATGGGCTGATTTGCTAGCCCAAGAAGCTAGGTTTGAAGCGGCTGGAGTTGATTTCATATAATTATTGAACTGCTTAACGTTTTAATTTGACGTTTCTTCTATTTTGTGCCAGATGAATCATTTTGGTAGTTAACGCAAAATTCGGTGCATCTGGGCGTGCGTCAAAGAGCCTTCATTGATTTAATCCTGTATTATACCAAGGTAAAAGAGTTTTGATAAACTGCCCAATGGCCATATGTGGTATGACTTCGTTCTGTCTGGTTTGGATGGAGTTGAACTCTCAATAGGACTCATGAATGCATTCCTTCTGTCCTGTGCACCCTGATGCCCACGTTATATGAAAACGTTATTTACCCTAAAACTGGTTTAAGTATTAAGTATCACTTGGTATTTGGCCAGGAACTATTGGATGTCTAGCAAGCTACAGCAAATTCGCATCTGAACTGTAGCTACTTCGTGTGAACTTAGCTCTAGCGTTATTAGCTCTGCACAGACGTGACACAGTTCGATTCTTGATTCTGTGATGTTACTTTTTGACCGGCAGTCGATCATTAAATCCTCCAAATGCTGCTCAAATTTCGGCGAAGCTTTCGTAGGAGTAAATAAAACAATTTAGGTATAAATCAAATGTATTTGCAGTCGACATATCCAAATCTAACGCCTATATAAGACATGCTGCTGCTTCAATAGCCTTTTAAAAGACGTACTTCGATTTTAAACACCAAATTTGGGGCTCAATCCAAATAGGTCATCGGGATTTCATAAATTTCGTAATGATGCAAATAACATCAAAATCATCCTGACCAGTTTATATGCTCGTGGACAAACTCCCAATTTGTTTCACAGTATAAATTTGATGAAAATGTAATAGGCTGAAACGTAAAATGCATTAGTTCACGCCTATGTACAACATGCATGATTACAAACACTTTCTTGAAGCCATATACTTCATCATTTTATTAAAACACTATGAGGCGAATTCTTCTTGAAATGAAATGTGTGCGGATAATAATTTGGTTTGACCTTGAAACATTCGTTTATTCTTCACTGTGAAGAGAGGAAGTGCACCAATACAACGAGCTGCACACTATTCCCACGTATTTTAACCTTTTTGTGTTCTGTCCGGGGAAGAAGCTGCGTTTGATTCTTTAGAGGTTTGATGGATGAGCATTACCGTTGTTAGGGCCCTGGAATGATTATCATGTTTAGTTTAATTTCCCACTATTATTCACACTATCTATAGCATTAGAAAAACAATAGATAACGCTGACTGAAACACCGATGAAACAGTGTGTGACTATGATAAATGGACAAGAGATTTGAGTGAGATGAGGAACTGAAGGATCAAGAAGGAGGGCGTTTGGAGGTAGAAGTTGGTATCATTTGATGCCTATGCTTATTGGTTTTGATATGGGGTTTAAAACGTTTCACTGTGATGGCAAATTCATTCCCGACACACGATCAGGTGCCACTACTACTTTACTGGTGTTGTTGGAATTAAATCAGTATTATAATCGATGACTGACAGTGTTTTGTGTGTCGTTATCAGTAACTTCATTCAAATGAGCTGTGCCATTAGCAAAATGGATTGCAACTTTGAATTTTTCGTGCACTCATCTACCCGTGATAGTCGTCAGTTCTTACAACTCTGAAGACAAATCTATGATACTATCTATCTATCCCAGAGGCAATTCTACATTGTAGCACAATGAAAGCAAAAAACTGATCGATATAGAACTCATCTAAATGCAGACTGATTTCTTTTACTACTGATGAAATTCGGTGTTCGACTGCTTGCATTGAAGATTTGCAAATTTTATCTGGAATGAAAAGTTCTGCAAAAGCAGTCGAACGGATAACCCTTTCAATGGTTCAGGCTATTTTACCCACATAAGGGAAACTGCGATATTTGCTCAAAATTATGACCTTTCGTTAAGGTTTCAGTTTACACTCAATAACAGTATCTTAATGAACAACAGCACAGCACAACGAATTCTGCTATTCTAATACCTCCTATACGTTTCGATGTTGTTCGGAGAAACAACTGTTTTTTGTGGGTATATCATTCTTAGATCGCTGGTCATAGATTTATGGTGTGTTTCCAAAAAGAAGAGTAATAACCAATGCAAAAATAATAACTAGCCGGGGTAAGAAACGTGAAAAGCGATGAAAATTGAATCGATGATTTAGCCAATGATAAAAATGTGTTAGAACTTTGTGGAATTAATATTGAACTTGTTGTTATACGTAAATTGCACAGATTTCAGTCACTCATATCCAGCATGAGTTTGAAGAACGTGCCGAGGACCAGAATACGCGCGTAATTGAACATGCTTGGCTAGTCCCGGTTGAGGATTCCCGTTTGGCCATCATCTCCACAGCCTCATTACACTCTAGAATCGACCGCCGTAGATCCCTGAGACTAACGACTGAAGAATTGATTACTACTCTTCGGTACCCATCAACGTGGGCTCCATGTGTGAACTATGACAAATTCCGTGTAAGTATTCAGCTGACAAATCAAAGAGGTAATGGCCCGCGAAGTGAAGAAGTGGGGGCCCAATTTGCCCCAGATAACGAACGCATCCACGGTGAGTTGAACAGTTCTGTTTTCCGGTAGCATAGTGCACCTTTTTGGGAGATTTTTAGTTCAAAAGTGAGAACACAAACTGTCGACAATTTATACAGCCACCCCATTTACCCCCATTCATATTTGATAACGTGTAATTTAATTTTAGGAATATTTGTGTAACAAATTCACACGTCTGATAATAACTGGTAATCCAAAGTGTCTTCTCGGATCCTGTAAATACATGTATCCTTGGGAAAAGAAGTAAATTTTGAAGGATTTTAATAAGTTGAAAATGATCCCAAAGCCATCAGTATACTTGGAATTTCACAATATATTTAGGTCCTGTCTATTGTGATACTGTTCGTTCAGTTCTGCTTGTTATGATTGTGATACCTCGAACATGCCAGTCAAAGAAGTTTTCGACCACCGATGTTTATGTAGTTTGTCTCACAAGGGATGGAGCTTAAGGTTTAGTAATGTGGAGTTGAACCGTTGTGATAACAATGTAAATATGCCTATGAAAAAAATTTAAAAGTTATTGTTTGAAGACCTAAGGAATCCAGTTATACGCGATGGGTCGATTGAGATAATATTCTATTACTCAAGGAATTTCCATTTGTGTATCAGACAAACAATGAATTTGACTGTTCTGCTTGCTACATTGAGTAAAGCACTCCGCTAGAATGGAGGTGCGGCAAAATATGGGCAAAATACATGTGTCACTCTGATACACGATGTCCCAAAAACTGCACAAAATGGGATTTTGTTTCCGTCCACAGTATTACTCTGTCTACTGTGTGTTGTGCATTATGTATTGCTCAGCAACAACACCGATCGTTAGAATTTGGTTTCCTTTTTCGATGATAACACGAGCACTGGTCGAGCCTCCCGCCGAACGACAAGAAAACGAAACGGGAGGATAGAGAAAAGCTGCTCGTAGGCGATTTAGATCTGCAAGATGCGACATGATCCATACCAGTGGCGATTTACGTACAATCAGTGGGCTCAATTATGTGGTGGGTTTAAACCCATGCCCTTCGGTCAAATCAAGAAGTAATGGAATCATGGTTTGACAAGATTTTGTAGTTTACGATATTGATTTTAATGAAAAGCAAAAGCAATGGTCTATCTTTTTGGGCTCTTAGTACAAAGACAGCTCAGAAAACACTTCACTGGTCACTTAATAAACCGATTATTCCTCGAAATGATTATCTTTCGTAAAGAATTTCCGTCCTGTGACAATTTGATAAAATTAGTAAATGAAATGGTGCGGAATTAGTTCATACCGAATACTTTATCAAACAAAATCATCCCGTATATGATAAAAACCTTTATCGGAAAACCATTTAAATTAAGAAAACTCATTTCTGTGCATCAGCAAGGTAACCAACAGGGAGCACTAAGCGTAAAGCTATCACTTGACAATCAGGATACTTAATCTTAAGCCAACCGATTCAAACTGACATTAACAACAAAATTTAACACATTCTGAGCCGCTTTTGCGTAGTAATGTACGCACACCTAAATCTTTCCAAAAAAATAGTGACCGTTGTTTTGATTCAATGAAATGATATAGGCTGAGCATACGGGACAGACTGGCTAGGCACGCCTTGTAATGCGAACGCACTCCGTGCCCTAGCAGCGCAGGGGAGTGAACGGAGATTGGCGATAGGATGTCCTTTCGGCTCGTATTCTCGCAGCGGGAGACAATCTGAGGCTTTTCAAGCGACGCACGGCGGTCGGGATGCGGGACGAGGGTAGGCGAGGTAACATTGGTAGACAGGTCCTGCGTTGCTCAGGTTAAACCTGTAAGGCAAAGCAAACAAAACGCCATGAATCAAAAAGGTTCACTGGAATACAGGCACTCAAGAAAAAACATTATTGGCGCGGTCGCAAAGCGTTACAGACTCAAAGGGATTGAAAAAGTGACATGATCTCAGAAAGTTTCTGATGCGAAATACCCGCGATTGATGAACTGTATCATTCCTTTTTGTTTCAAGTGATGATGTTGGCGCATATAACGGGCAGAACGTAGAACGGCACAACTGCACTAATGCACGCATCACAGAACTACTGTAAGATTTTTGTTTCACACTGTATTAGTCCCTCATGAGAAAAAGTAAAACCGAGTGTGTAACATCGAGTTCAGCCATTTGACTCCGTTAGCTTACTGGTGTTCAAGCAACACTCCTTTTTGTTGAAGCATTGCAACACATGTTTTTCGGAGACTAGAGCAAGACAGAAACGGGGATACTTGGGTTCAAATATGTTAACGTAAACTCCAGGATCAACATAATAAAAATGCTTGTATGCATTGGAATTTGTTTATTTCGTAGTGTGTATTTTGGGGACCGGTATCTCAGTTGTTATAACACTTAGCTACACAGAGAATGAATATCAAACGAAATTATGCATATTTTATTGCAAATTTTCATGCTGACATTGTCTTAATTTGCTACGCGTTCTTAGTGTCCTCTTCATCATCATCTAAGCAACTGTTATTCATATCTGTAAACTTATCTTTATTAGAGCGTATGCCAAACTAAAAATTATAACCTTCTTCTCTCCGAAACTTCTGTCCACATCAGATGAATAAACTGCATATTTAACATGACTTATATTTTGCAATCATTTCTGGTGAAACGTCGCACCGTGACGACTCGCAGTACGGGAGAAACCCACCAGAATAAAGTTCGACTATTCGGTTTTTAGGAACCGGAGAACCGAAAGATGGAACGAGAATTGAGGAATCGTGGAACGTCTAACTGACAGTGCAGTGCAGTAGAGAATAAGGAGGCATTTACCAATTAAACTGCTAGCATATCAGATCAAACATTCTGACGATGATCTATACCTTTTCGACTTCAAGTGAATTCGTTCTAACGTCAAGTGAATCCGCCGTGAACGCAACCAATCGCACTCCATTGGAAACCCCGACAAGATGATTGGTGTTTTGTCCGTCCCACCCGGGAACATGATGTTCGTGATCGTTGATCAAGTGTGCGTCATAGATACGAATGAACTAACCCGGAGTTAACTGACCCCTGTCGGTCCGGTAAGGAAGCGAATCACACCAAGATGGATCGATAATTCGATCACCACGTGAATGTGAGCATGATTCTTTGTATGAGTGGAGTCAGTCTAAGCCCACAATAACCAAATGAGTAAATTCTATTGAGGCCGAGTTTCTCTCAAATAAAACCGATTCCTTTGAATCAAATGCGATTGCTTACGTATTTCTGACATTGAAACACACTTCATAATATACTTAGCATGCATAAGACGATGGGGGTGACTACTGTAGTTAGTTCCTCCGCTCGAATCCAAATGTACGTGATTATTTTGACCAAACTGGAATCGACCCCAACGGTTGATAGCTTGTACCATTTACACCCTAACGATCAGCAAAATGTCGACCTGCCCAACTTAGGCTACTGTTTTTACATGATCGTTCAGTTTTACCGATGCATGAACTTCCTTCGTGGATGAATTCTGACGGTTTATATTTACGTGCTGTATCATCCTGCAATGGATCGTAAGTGTAGCATACTACGAGCGTACAATAATGGTGATGACTGGTTGCTGATCGCTGCATCACTTGGTGTGAAGAAAAGGACAGCGATGACATGGGTAAGAAGACATCAAGAAGAACCGTCAGAATTCACCCACTGGGGAAGACGGTTCAATAATTTATCAAATCACCATGTAGTGGAACTCATTTCATGGATTGAGTAGAATCCGACTGTAACACTGTCGTCCCTAAGGATGAAACTCACGGCTGAATACGATAAAGAAGTTTCCTTGATAACTACTAGCAACTATTTAGATGCGAAACTGATTATAATCAAAAAGATTCATCAAATACCAGTAACGATGAACTTACTGGATAATAAAGAGGGGAGGAAAAGGTAAACTAACCACCTGTTTTTGAGTCATTTCTTCCTAGATATGTTCAACAACTGCAATGGTACGAGGCACTTGGACATGAGATTATCTGGATTGGTGAAACCAACTTCAACGTACATTGTTCAAGAAATTATGGGCGTGCGCCAAGAGGTCAAAGGTTTCGGATATCAGTGGCCAGTTCAAGAGGAACAAATCTGCACGTCATAGGTGCTATGAATGCGGACGGGTTGTCGAACTGTACTCTATACGATCCATTGCAGGATGATACAGCACGTAAATATAAACCGTCAGAATTCATCCACGAAGGAAGTTCATGCATCGGTAAAACTGAACGATCATGTAAAAACAGTAGCCTAAGTTGGGCAGGTCGACATTTTGCTGATCGTTAGGGTGTAAATGGTACAAGCTATCAACCGTTAGGGTCGATTCCAGTTTGGTCAAAATAATCACGTACATTTGGATTCGAGCGGAGGAACTAACTACAGTAGTCACCCCCATCGTCTTATGCATGCTAAGTATATTGTGAAGTGTGCATTTCAATGTCAGAAATACGTAAGCAATCGCATTTGATTCAAAGGAATCGGTTTTATTTGAGAGAAACT